GGCACAACAGACCAGTTCTAGTAGGTGTGTGTTGTGTGTTTGAACAATAACTATAAATATTTAAATAAATAAAGGAGACAGATTTACTGTAAACAAATTATCCAATGACTACATTTGGAACAAATTCTCAATATTTTTGGTATCTAAATATATAAAAGGCAAAGCCCTCACTGACTGACTGACTCACTCACTCACTCATCACCAATTCACCCACTTCCCATTTACCTAGGAGGCTGAAATTCGGTACACCGATTCTTTGGGCATTAAATAGGAAAACTAAGTACTGTAGTTTTTATTCTGATCGGGCTTTCGGGCTCCGCCCCAGTGGCTCTGGAGTTTCCCATATTAACCTTATGATTTTTCATATTTAAAAGGAATTTCTTAACAGCTGTTTCAATTAAACAAGTTGGTTCTGTTCTATGATGTTCAATAGCATTAAAGTTACAATGATTACCAACAGAGTGCAGCACTATAATTTTTTTTTTAATTTTTGACTACAGCCAATTTGCAACCAAAAGGTGAGTGAGCGTAGCGAACGAACTTCAACCTGGAAGCGAGTTAGCGTAGCGAACGAGCTAACCTGAAGGCAAGTGAGCGGAGCGAACGAGCTCCAACCTAAAGGTGAGTGAGCGTAGCGAACGAACTTCAACCAGGACGTGATTGAGCCATGCGAACGAGCTCACTTGTGAAGTTAATCGGAGCAAAGCCCGCGGGTACAGCTAGTTATTCGATAAAGTGTAATTTAAAATCCCTGAAAAAAATACATGACATGGCAATAATAAGTAATTTGAATAGTACATTATTTAATTGTATTAAAAATATTTTTAACTTATGGTTATGATATGAGAGGGGGTACTGTGTATACTATAAACTGATAGCCTATTAAAAGTATATGTCTTCTAGTAGGTCTTGGGGTTTTTTTTTATAATGCAGCTAATCAGCCACCTATCATTGAGAATATAATATTTTCCTCTTTTTATACCCATAATTCTAAAAAAAAGAATTAAAAAATTAATTTATGTGATTTGCTGGGTACAGAATATAACAGTTTGTGTCAAGATGTATTGTTTTTTTATTATTATTATTGGAAATTTTTATCACTTTATAGTTTTATGTGGCCATTTTTAACAAATACTTTCTAAAAATATTTAGCTTATCATGATTTTGTAATGAAGTAAGAACTTAGAATGACTATATTTGAACCATTCTGAAAACCATTATTAGACTTGGGTTTATATCCATTGATTAGACATCCCATCTAGACGGAAAAGCTGTAGTCAGTTTTTACTTACAAAAACATAGTTCAATGAGTTATCATTATGTGTGCTACCACCCACTGCTACACTGATTAAAGTTCTAAATCTTCTTTTCATATATGAGGAGGGGACCCATGCACAAATTTGCATTTAAATAGTGTTAAAAAGTTAATTACCATAAAGACTGAAGAATGGTTTACGAACCTCAATTGTTGCACCTATTAAAAAATCCACTATTATAAATTATTTTGCCTGTCTCTCGTTTACAACCTGACTGTAGTTAAACATTCAACTGAAGGATCAGCTGTTGCATTACAGTTCAAAGGAAGTTGGTCAGCAACACTGGATCATTGAAAGTGAACTATAGAAATAATTTTAACTCAACGGGTTGAACCCAAGGGAAGTTAGCTTTTTTATTACCATTTGCAGGTGCGCTGGATCATAAGCTTTAAGATGACACCTCAATCGTGAAAATCAGCTAATTAAGGCAGCTGAAAAAGGGGTTACCGCCGGATGCACCTTCAGCCGCACAACAGCGCCGCGCGGCGTCCACGCCGGACAACTCGGTGAAGGTGCATTGGAATGGGAGCTTACGGTGCGGCGCGCGCCGCACGGCCCAACCCCTACGCTGTCTCAATTTAGACAAACTACCTGACCAAGAGGGTGCAACAGTTAATTAAGATATTATATATCGTTGTATCGGAAAATAATATATTTAAAGTTATTACGAAACATATATTTTTATGTTCATCCCACGCAAACCGGCCAACTTAAAGTATTAAAACAAAATTTTTCCTTTAATAACTAGAGGAGAATATTTAGTATTAAATTAATAATTTAGTAATTTATACGTAATGAAATATATATATTTTTTTTACTTCTAGAATACAATATTTTCAGATATGACGAATACTTAAATATAATACGTGAAGGCGATTTCTACGAAATACTACTCCTCCGTTAATAATGGACGGATTTTTACAAACTAATTTGTATTAATTACAGCTGTTCATAGTACACACATGATACACACAAGAGTTTTCGTTTTCAGTTTCGATGGAGTGGAGTGAGCGTTCGTTTTCATAGTGAGTTCGTTTCCAGTTTCGATAACTGGAGTGGAGTGATTGGTTACATTATCTTTGAGTTGACTCTTTTAAGTCAACGGAAATTGTGACAATTATTCGTAAAAAAACTCCTTTAATATTTTACAATTGCTCGAATTCGAGCAACAGGTGCACTAGTTTATTATATTTCAAATTAGCCTATTAATTTATTTGAACTTTTAAGTGGATTATTCATTTAAAAGCCACAACTGAACAGAAAATAATAAATATTTAAGAGTGCTGTACGGCGCTCGCCGCACAAAACCGTTGTGTGAAGACACCTGCTTGTCCGGTGCAGCGCCGCGTGGCGGACGCCGCACGGCACGCGCCGCTTCGTGTGAAAGAGGCGTAACTCGCGCGCCGTGCGGCGAATTTGCCGCGCGGCGCGCGCCGGACATAGTGTGAAAGGACTCATATGCTCCCATAGACCTACGCCGGATCCGGCGGGCGCCGCACGGCGCGCGCCGCGTCGTGAAGAGGCGTAAATCAGAGTTTACAGCAAAATATTCAAAACATTTGTTAACATCATGTGTTGTCAACAAAAGTTATAAGCATTTTGTTGTAAACTCTGGTGTGAACGGGGCTTTAATAAGTGCTCTAAACATTCATTTACAACTTCTTCTGAACAAAGGTTCTCTTGTAAACAGTGAAAAAATGTTAAAAACATTTTTGACAATACTAGCATTCTTTGAAATGATATTAACTCGAGTGTGGAATTAAGAATTAAACTGAATTTTTCAGCAGCACAAATTCAAGTTGGTGGCTTTTTGAACTAAGATTTTATTATTTTATTATGTGATACAACAACTTTAACCATGGTAATACAGTAGTCTAATTCACTATTTATTATCATCTTTTAGTTACCTATATATCTTTTAGACTTCTAGGTGAGTGAAAATTTAAAAACGTACGTTTACAGGAAAAGCACTTTGCAAATTTTTTCCCCTTTTTTCAAAATTTTTATTATTTTTTTTATTTCATTAACATTTGAAGTTTCATAAAATGTCCATGGTAACGCAATATCTTTGGTAGTTTCTTTTTAAAAGAGCATCTTTAGTGGGAAAACACAAAATCCTGTCACGACCATAACGGACGTTTAAATGAATATTAAAAAAAGTTAATATTATTTTTATAACTATGTTTTGCTATAAACTAATTTACTTTTATGGAGCTTTTGGTATATTTGGTCATTCTAGAAAAAAATAAAAAACTCAAAAAATTGAAAAAAAGCCAATAAAATCTTTTTAAGTTTGTATAACTCCGAAAAAACTTACCTGAGACCCGAAAAATTGTTATGTTTGTATAGAGGTGTGCTTCTTTTGTGTATAAAACATTGAAATATGACGATATTTTAATTTTTGAAATTTTTATGATAGAAATCATAAACGTGATGGTCAGGGACAAGCGGTACGGTCGTGAATTGTCTGGAATAAACTAAATCTTTCTAAACAATCCTTCAATTATCCTGTTAGTTATAATAAAAATATGTGTTTCAATTGAACTAAACTGTTCAATTTACAATTATATTAAAGTTATTGTCACGACCAAACACACTATAATCCATAAGGCTGGATTGGTCGTGAAAAAACCCGCGATGGCCGTGAAACTTTAGTCGTGAAATTACGTGTTATTTGGCTCTGTTCTGGCGGTAGCCCTGCACCTCATGTTCGAGGATACAAAGTGGACTTCTAGGTTAATCTAGCAATTGAAATATCTTATAAACAAAAATTAACACCATGTCTACTTCATCGAATGACTACGTACGGTCATGGACACACCAAAATTACAAAAAACACAATCTTTCCTTTATTAATCTTGTAATTCCTCCTTTCAACTCGAAACGACCGGCACTACAATCCTGACGTACACCCCGAACTAGTCTCTAAAACCAACTGACTCCATCGACGCCAGGCTTGCCCCTGTCGTGCTCCAAAGTTGAAAATTTTCCCCAAATGGTCGTGACGCCAAATCGAGGGACAGACTTATTTTGTCATGGTAGTCAGTTTGTAATGACAATAAAATTATAATATGCTCCTTTTTTGTAAGTTTAATAACCATTGATGACATAAAAATATGGCTTTATATATTTCGGCATGAATAATTAGTCTAAAAACAGCATGAAAGTTGGAAAATGTACCCTAGGGACACGTCATGGTCGTGAATTTCGAGACTTAAAAAATACGAAAAAAATACCTAGAACCTATTTAAAACCAAATAAATGTGTGTAACATGTTGCCCCTGTCCCAAAAAATATTAAAACACATAATAATAAACTACAAATCCAGTATCTACGAAGTAAAAGGCCAGGGACATGAAAACGTACGTTTTTAAATTTTCACTCAGGTATCTAATGTTTAGTGAATGTTTTTGAATATACAGCTCATTTGAATTCGTTTTCACACTTCAGCAAGACTGAATTACAACTACTACAGTAAATATTCTCTAAGAGTGGTGTTACTGCTCTCAGTAGTTTATCTAAATTTGAAATATTATCGCACTGTCTTCAGGAGGAAAAGTTTGTATACGAGTTGTTATGTATCAATGATTTGATATTTAAGACATAATACAATATTTGATACTAAAGTTACAAAACCTACCAATAATTGCAATATTAACAGAAATTACTAATTTTTCTGTCCAGATCTTGGCATGTATATCTGCTGCCTCATTCCACTTTGCCTGTGGAGCTGTTCTGGGATTCTCTGCCATCTTGATACCCCAGTTGGAGTTACCTGACTCCGAGATCAAAGTCACCAAAACTGACATTTCATGGATTGGTAATGTTAACTAGTGTGTTGTAGATTTGTTGTTATAATTACAAAAAAAAAAACACAAACAAAATTGTGAAAATGTGTATTGTTGTCATGTGTTAACTGAGTACTTTAGTTGTTCATTATTGTAATAAACTCTGCATTTTTATCACATGGGATGTAAAGACAAACCTTACTCTCATGACATATGAATTATATATATATATATAATTTTAAGTATGTAACAACATTGACTATACACAGATGGTAACAATTTGGTTGTGTAATTATCCACTGATAAGGCTAATAATATTAATGTATTTTAATTTTAAAATATGTTTGCTTAAAATTTTTGTATTTAATATTATGAATGACAATCTATATATCTATCTATATAGGCAAGTATGTTTCTTTAAAACCTTTTTTCTCAGCTCGTGTGCATCGCTGGGAAAATCTACTTATACTGTTGGAAATATATTTTCCTGTAGATGTGCAGAATCCCTTTATAAATTAAAATAGGCTCAAAAATAAGCACAAAAAATTAGTTTAAAAATTTGAAAAAATTAATATGGATCTTATAGGTTGCCATGCTGGTGACGAAATAACAACAAAATATAAAAAGAAAATCAAAACAAATGGAAGAAACTCCAATGACATGTTTTGTTTACAGTGTGGGGTGAAAATAGAGAAGTCTGTACATTACATATTTTTGGTCAAGTTTCGACCACTGGACTACCTCTAGTACTTATTTAATACGCAAGCAGGTTTTTTGTGACAATTAAGGCCCGTTTTGCCAGAAGCGTCTATGGTGCGTCCGACGCTCAGCGATGATCGCTAGAGCGATAATCGCTCAGCGTCTATCGCTCGGGCCTATTTTGCCAGAAGCGTCTGTTCCTTGCGATTATTTGATCAGTAAGTGGTTTACTTTGGTGACAAAAGGAGTGTTTCTGAAAATAACCTGTAAAAAGCAAATAGGTAGTAAAGTATTTGTTAGCTGAGGAATTAGACGATGATGAGATATTAGAAATGTTGTGCAAACGTAGGGAAGAAGTGCGTACTATGTTTTTAAAGAGGCCTGAAGAGGGATATTTTAAATTGTTAATTGAAAATCAATTGACAATTGACTTAACAGTCGTGTGCTGAAATGGCTTTAATCGGTTTTTCATCTTCTTCACTATTGAATCCCCACTTTGTTTGTGACATGTCACTAAACTTGAAAACACAACTCATTTAAGGAAACAAAAGTTAAGTCAACAACTAAACACGTGCTTATTCCAGTAATAATCGCTAGCGACTGCGTCTCCGTCTGCTCCAGGAGCAGTGGTCCGCGTCAGACGCTTGCGTCTCAGTTACAGACGCTGGCGGCTGTAGCGATAGACGCTTCTGGCAAAATAGGCTAACCTAAAACAATGCAAAGCAGTGGGCAGCGATTGACGCGGAGCGATATACGCTGAGCGTCAGACGCACGAGACGCTTCTGGCAAAACGGGCCTTAACTCCTCCGAAATTACCTACTGAACCGATTGACATGTTTTTGGTGTCATTGGAGAAAGAGTAACGTGAAGTTGTGCAGGAAACTTTCTTTTTAGAGAAATAGTTAGAGAGTGAGGCCCTGGGGCCCTTTAAAATTTTGTATTTCTCCATAAGATTAACATGGGAAACAAACATTGTAATGAAACTCCAGCGTTGTCTGAAATTAAAAGTGAGAAGAAAAACATATGTTAATCGTAAACAGTCAATAAGTTTGCTAATTTAACAGTTTGCTACTAACATTATTAGTTACTTGGTTGAAATGAAACATTTACTATTTGAATTTGGGTTGGCGTAAATATTACAAAGGAATAAAGCGAGAGACCCTGGATAATTTTATATACTAAAAAGACAACTGAATTAACACTGTGCTGAATTTCTTAGTAATCATTGAAAGAGCCAATTTGCAAACAATGGAAACTTAGGAAAGTCATAGAACACCACCAAGGGGAAGAAATAGAAATGTATTTTTTTAAATTTATAATCGTTATTATGGACAACCTAATGTAGCTATTAGTATGGCTTTTTGTAGCCATCTTAAATATTTCCACAATCTTTGAGTCGAATCTTTTAAAGTCATCAGAAATTATGACTGTTATTCACTTTAAAATAACGCCTGTAATACTTAGCAATTGCTCAAATTCGAGCAACAGGTACACTAGTTAATTAATAATTTTGCTTCTCAGTTGTGCTGTTATGAGAGAGAGATCTTCATTTTATGGAGATTTTAACAACAAACAAAAATATCCATTATGATGGCTCCACTAAAGCCATGGTGGAAGGATAAAACATAGGTGTGATACTCCATCTCATATGCTGACTTCTCCCAGATTCAAACATAAAATTACCTGATTGTAACTGTCGTTTAAGTATACATTTGTTTTGATTTGATTGTTATCGTTTTATAATTTTTTCTAAATAGTGAAATGGCATTTGCAATCTTGGTGACGTCAGCATATGACGTGAATATCACACCTATGTTTTATCATAGACAAAAAGAATTAAATATAGACCGTCAGCTGTGCTGCGGTTACCATAGCTTCTGGCGCACACCGCTTGGAGCGCCATGTATTTACGGCTTACGCGCTACGTAAACTACAGCGGTGTGCGCCGGAACCTATGGTAACCATGGTAACCACAGCACGGCTGACAGTCTATATTTAATTCTTTTTGTCTATGGTTTTATCCTTCCATCATGTGCTGAATCCATAGTTTCATTACATACAATTAAACAAATGATAAAAAAGGTTGTTGGATTGTATATTAAACTTCATTTTTGTTTAGAACCTCACAATTTTCTAGGGGTGAGAAAAAAAGCTGATGATAGTAAATTGTGATTGTAGCTAGTATGGTGGCTTTGGTGGTGCCAGTGGGTGCGGTGATGACAGGGTACCTTGTAGACCACCTAGGACGGATCCGTACACTGACAGTGGCATCTGTGCCCATGACTATAGGTTGGATATGCCTAGCACTGGCTCAGAATCTTCCTGTAATGCTACTTGGAAGGTCTCTCACTGCCTTTGGTGCAGGTAATATGGAAAAAGTTACTCTATATCTTATAAGGCAACATTAAAAACAACAATACCAACTACAACATTCCCCTCCTCAATGGAATTGTCTGTTACAAATTGAGATGGGATGGGGACTCAACTATGCCTTAGTTTCACCCAATGTTAATAAAGGATGAGTTATGAATGGAGTGAGATTCCTTGTGTGACTTTATTCCTGGCTAATGCCGGCTGTTCCAAGGTGTGTTCCATGCTTACTCCAATTTATAGCTCACTAGCTGTACCAGCGAGCTTTGCCCCGTTTAACTTCTTAATTTTCAAGATGAGCTCGTTCGCATGGCTCAATCACGTCCTGGTTGAAGTGCGTTCGCTACGCTCACTCACCTTTAGGTTGGAGCTCGTTCGCTGCGCTCACTTGCCTTCAGGTTAGCTCGTTCGCTACGCTAACTCGCCTCCAGGTTGAAGTTCGTTCGATACGCTCACTCACCTTTTGGTTGCAAATTAGCTGTTGTCATAAATTAAAAAAATAATAATAGTGCTGCACCCTGTTGGCAATCCTTGTAACTTTAAAGCTATTGAACATCATAGAACAGAACCAACTTGTTTAATTGAAACAGCTGATAAGATTCATTAATTCTTTTTAAATATGAAAAATCATAAGGTTAACATGGGAAACTCCAGAGCCACTGGGGCGGAGCCCGAGAGTCCGATCAGATCAAAAACAACTTAGTTTTCTTATTTAATGCCTAAAGAATCGGTGTACCAAATTTCAGCCTCCTAGGTAAATGGGAAGTGGGAGAATTAGTGATGAGTGAGTGAGTGAGTGAGTGTGTCAGTGAGGGCTTTGCCTTTTATATATTTAGATTAGTACAGTAGTTGCAGTTGGTACTCTAAAGGATTACTTAACAGTGAGTTGTCTACTGGCCTTTCTTCTGCTACAGCCACTCTAAAGGTGTGTTGTCCAAGACGCGTCTGAGGCGATGATAATAGAGTAGGTCGATCGCTGCTCGATGATTGCTGGGTGTTGATCGCTTTATGGCCCATTGTCCAAGAACGTGTCAATAAAGTTCAACAGTTGGTTGCTGCTGTGTTAAACTGTGGTTTATTTAGTGCTCTCTATGAGTGTTAAGAACAAACTGTTGAAGATTCTGTTGATTGAAGAAATAGAAGAGAAGGAAATTCTGGACATTTTAAGAGAACCTCGATTGTGTACTCGCAGTGTTTTCACAAAGAGAACTGAGGAAGGATATTTTTAAATACTTATACAAAACCATTTGAACCCAGATTAGAGGCTTTTTGTGATTGTTTTAGACTTCCAAAGAACCTGATCTTCCAATTTTTTCAGCTACTACCACCCAAATATCGTCCTTCACCCTTTGGTCTTTGTAGACGGGGTTCTGTAAGTTGTATAACGCTGGATAAGCAGACACTGCTACAATCAAATTTTCATCTTCTTCAGAAGAGAAAAAAAACTTTCCACTATTCTTGCAAGGAGACATCGAAGCTTGAGAGCATGGGAGAACACAGTCACACTCACAACACTGCATTAGACTCTGTCCATCAGCGATCCCGTCTGCTCCTTTTGTCTTGCTCCCAGAGCAGGATTCCACGTCAGACACTCAGTGCCTCAAGTGTCAGATTCTTCTTGGACCACGGGCCCATTGAAATCAATGCTTAGCAGTCACAGAGCGTCCATCGCCAGCATATATTTCTCAGTAACGGACGCAATAGACGCGTCTTGGACAATAATTACCTAACCAAAAATTGTAAACCTCACACAAGTATAGCAAATTTCTAACTGACAAAAATTTCCCTGTGTGTGATGATTTTCACATGTAAATTGTCTATTGTTTACTTTTAGCTTTTTTTATTGCCTTCCAATCACCTCAAATAAGTTGTTATGTAAAGGCTATTTTGGCCTTCAGTCTGCACAATGTGAAATTTTGTCTTCTTCCAACCCACCATAATTTTTAATTGTCGTACCTGATTTAAATTTGCATTAACAATTAAAGTGTAACAGTACCCAAAATTTCTCTTGTAAAGTTATCTGTTCCAGGAAAAAATATCAGGTTATTTTTTAGAAAGCAGTTTCTTAAAATGAGTATAGTTAAGAGGATTCCACCTGCTAGCTGCTTACGGCGTAAACATGTATATACCAAAAAGAACCTCGTGGCATTATTTAAGTATTTATTGAGTTTAAATAATCTATAAAATATTCCCAAAGACCCAAACTATGCACTGAATAAACTAAAACTTCGTAATTGTTTCTTTTTAAAAAATCATTTTGAAAATTATTTTTTACATGTGATTTTAACTTCTAAATAATAGGCTATAGTTAAAAATTAATTTTTCCCCATCCATTGCAAGATGTGATGGGCCATCTTGAATTGAAATTTAGGCTGCCGGGTAGAACCCCCTTAACCCTTCGCAGACGGATATATCCGCCTAAGTCTTTGGCGATAAAGGAACGGTGACGGATATATCCGCATATGGTTTTTGATGTTCCGGATAGGAAGCGGTTAAACCCGCCTTCTCTTCAGACAGACTGGCAGGTGCTTGAGCAGTAACCAGAAGTTTCGCGGTACCAAGGCGCCACTTTCCTGCTCTTTCCATGACTGTGCTCTCCCCCGCACTCCCCCCTCTCTCCCGCGCCAACCCCTCTCTTGTGCCTCAACCCCTCCCGCGCACCTACCACCACTTCTACACTCCCCCCCTCGACGTTTCGCGCTGCCTTTATTTATTGTTTACATATTGTTCTTTATTTATTGCCTAACGTTGTCATGGTCATATCTTCAAAGACGGGTAGCGGATATATCCGCTGCATTTCTACTCATCCGCGGACGGGTAGCGGATACATCCACATAATTAAAAACGAGTAAAAAATTATTTTGACAGTATAATGTGTTCCACTGTGTTTATTATATGTACCTGTTTAACAAAACACAAATATGAAAAATTAATTTTTATTTTTTCCTATAATTTTCTCCTGTCCTATGCCATGATTTCGTCTGTCCGGGAAGGGTTAAAGGAACTGGTTTTAGAAAAATTAAAACATATGTGAGGGAGGCAGCATATCTGGGAACAGTACTTAGCGGTTGATCTGGCTTAGACTAATCATTCCACTCTCTGATAGGGTTTAAAAGATTCCTAATGTAATTTATGTGAGCTTTAACAGGAAAGTTGCCATACCAAGGTTTGGTAATCATCACTCTTTCCTCTAACTTATGGTAATATAAGTGCAATACTATGGTTAATTTTTGAAATATTTGAGGAATGGGGTATATTTTCAAGATTTGTAACATTAGCCTAGAATAATATTTTTGAATATTGTAATTTAATAATTACTGTATAATTTTCTTCTATCGTTTTTTTTTTTTTAACAATGGTTATAATACTCATTTATTAAACATTAAAGGTGTTGGTTTAATCCTGAGAAAAGATCAGTGTTTATTGATGGTTTGGAACTGGACCCATAGTTGTCTTTGATAAATTAAATTCTCATTAATAATTTTGACAAATTCTGGTGTACTGATGTCATATAAATATTTTACTTGATCTAACAACTTGTCCAAATGTCTAAGACCTGTACATAAGGTTTCCTTGGCATTTTGCATTTTGCTGTATTTTAAAGTTTTTTTTTTTTAATGTATTTTAACTACATGCTTATATGGTTGTTGTTTGTGTTGTGTTGTATTTAACTCGGTTGTTGTGTTTTGTAGTGTCAGTACTATTTGTGTGGTATTTGTGTGTTGTAGCTATGGGCACAGCTCCTGCCATTGTATACATCACAGAGGTAGCTCGGGCAGATCTAAGAGGCTCTCTCATTAGTATCACCATGGCACTCACATCTCTAGGTAAGAGCATATGCTGAGTAAATTATTCAAATACTGTGAAAATTTTGTTAACCTTAATTTGTCATAAACCATTATTGATAATCATTTTGCTTTCACCTCTTGATTATAAATTACTTACCAGACTTATATTGAAGCATTTCCAGTTCATAATCCAGGGTCATCTGTAAGAAATTTTAATTACAGCCGGTTTTGAACAAGTGGAATTCATATTTTTTCATATCATATAAGAAAATAGTTGAGGTTCTCCATTTAATTATTTCTCTAAATATAATAATTTATGAAGATACCAATGGTAGAACAGTTAAGTTGTTCACTCTGTACATTTTAAGCAGCATTGTTGCCGTATAAAATGTACGTTATCACCACAGTGGTGATGATTTTGCTGATCAGACACATCACTCACTTGACTTATGTGACATCCTCCTTATATAATAGTCTTGTCAATAAGAATGGCTCTGTCCAGTGTCATCAGAGAATGTGAGAATCTTATTAACAAACTACTGTATTGAAGCGCTACACTGACCTTCAGTACACAATGAAAGTCTCAAGCAAACAAGGATATGCAGTGCCTTTCAATCTCTGCAGGAAATTTTCTATTGTTTACTTTTAGCTTTTTTTATTGCCTTCCAATCACTTCAAATAAGTTGTTTTGTAAAGGCTATAACCAGTGACAAATACTCTGAAAAGTGATAGAACACATTTTATTTTAAATACATTTTAATAGTTAACTTTTTTCCATATGAAGTTGACATTCATATTGTATTGAAGCATTTTTTTTAAATGACAGCGTTATTTTCTTCACACTGCCGCAGACAGACCTCCAGATCTCTTCCAAGCCACAAGAGATATAGTTTAGAGGCTAAGAAGTACAGTATACTGAATGTAATAATGAGACACCCTGACACAATGTTCCCTGCTTCCTAGGCCAAAACTACCTTGGTAGACCTAACGTTAGTCAATTTCCCAATTTTAGGCTACTCTTTGTCATAAGTGTATGCTCACAGAATACTTACATTGTTTGTGGTAATTCTTACACACTTTGACTTGAAAGAAGTTACGTTATGAAAAGTTTCTTACTGTACTCTAAGAACCAGATTTATTAATAACTAGCCGCTATATTCGTGCCTTGCAACGGGGTCAAGATGCCGAAGAGACAATTTCAGTTCCTTGAAAATAATGGCAAGCAGCTTGAGAACGCTCAATAGAACAATTATTATTTTCCCTTGATCTGTTGTATGTAGATAGACTTTTATTAATTTACTATTAGTACCGGTATTAATTGGCAACATAAACATAACTGTAAAAAATCCATCCATTCCATGTATCACAGCTTTTTGTTTCTGCTTGGTGCAAATTGGCTGTTGTCATAAATTTAAAAAATAATAGTACTGCACCCTGTTGGTAAACATATTGACCTTTTAATGCTATTGAACATCACAGAATAAAATTGTTTAGTTGAAACAGCTGTCAAGATTCTTTAATTCCATTTAAATATAAGTACTCATAAGAACATGGGGAACTACAGAGCCACTGGGGCAGAGCCGATTGGACGGATCACAAAATTGATGGTGTATAAACCTATCCATTAAATTATACACGTATGCACCAAGTTTCGTGGCAATCGGTCCAACGGTGTCCGAGCTCGTAACGTTCAAATATATATACATACAAACTTCCTCTTTTATAAATATAGATTAGTAAGTCTACATGCTGTTATTATTATTCCTCTGTTTGTGTTGCCAGGAATGGTGGTATTGTATGCACAGGGTGCCTATTTCTACTGGCGCACTCTAGCATGGCTGACAATAATGAACAGTTTGATCCCTATTGTACTGATGATGCTTTGGTCCCCTGAGAGTCCTGTATGGTTAGTATCAAAAGGCAGAAACCAAGATGCTCTTAATTCTTTGAAATCGTTGCTAAAGAATGAAAAAAAGGTAATTAACTTTATATTCATTTAATTATAACTTTGGCATCTTATGTAAATATTTTTCTCTTTATATTTTAAATTAATATAATATATTCAGCGCACTGCCGCCAAAACGATTTTCAAGGGAGATTTGATTTTACATAGGCCCTAGAGCCCTTGATAATTTAAATTGTGTTTTAAGAGCCCATAAAAAATGTTAAAAATACACAGGGTGTCTTGCAACCATATGAACAAACTTTGACACGTTATTCAGCATGTCAAAAGACACAAAAAATGTAACATAACATGTGTCCTATCTCATTCCAGTTATTGTCTATCTGTCTGTATGTGAATTTAACAAAAACATTCATAACTCCTTAACTTTTTGATCTACAGCGTTCAAATCCTGTAAAAATGTTCATTTTATTGACCACTATGTTTGTGCAAAGTATGAAGAAAAACTCTTAAACCATTTCAAAATGGTGGTTTTTGAAAATATTTGATGCCAAATTCCATGAAAACCGCAAATTTTACAAAATATTTGCAGGAGCTGTACCAGATTTCCTTATTAGGCCCAAGCCTAGGGCGCAAAATTTTAACGTCTTGAATGAATCCCACGAACAAGCCTGCACGTCAGACCGGTAGCCCTGCTACCAGCAGACCACTGACGCACGGGCGCGTCCGAGTGTAGTTTGAATTTGCTGCGCTTTGTAAGCAAATCAAAGAAGAAGAAAGGTTGTCTTGTTTGGTACTACTGTGTTGGGAATTAACTGCTCTTTCACGTGGGATACAGAATTTCGTTTTGCTGTAGTCCCGACGACATCGCTGCAGCGAATGCCAAAAGTCAGCTGTGTTATTCTCAACTGTTTACTAAGCTGTTGTGTCCTTCTGTTTATATGTTTCGTTAGTAAACAATGTCGAATCATGCCAGTATTTCGCTTAGAGACGATGAAAGTTACATCTTACTTACATCTTACACTTACATCTTACATCTATGAAAGTTACTACACTCTTGAAGTTGCAAAACTGCTAATAATAATTACATTTAAATGGAAAAATGTTTAGGTCAATATAAACTTGAGATAGGACAACATACATGTTATATTAAATTTTTTGCTTCTTTTAACATGCTGAATAACGTGTCAAAGTTTGTTCATATGGTTGCAAGACACCGCCTGTATACCTAATTAATACTTGCAACATTTTTTTTCTTTCCATAATAATTTATTAACCCTTCCCGGACGTCCGGAAGTCTTTGACGATAAAGGAAGGGTGGCGGATAAATCCGCTTATGGTTTTTGATGTTCCGGACGGGAAGCGGATATATCCGCCTTCTCTTCAGACAGACTGGCAGGTGCTTGAGCAGTAACCAGATGTTTTGCGGTACCAAGGCACCACTTTCCTGCCCTCTCCATGGCCGCGCTTTCTCCCACACTCCCCCCTCTCTCTCGCGCCTTCCCCCTCTCCCACGCTCCACGTACCTCTCCTACGCTCCCCCCTCGACGTTTCGCGCTCAACACTACGTTGTCTTTATTTATTGTTTACATATTGTTCTTTATTTGTTGCCTAACGTCGTCATGGTCATATCTTCAAAGACGGGTGGCGGATATATCCGCTGCTTTTCTACTCATCCGCGGACAGGTAGCGGATATATCCGTATAGTTAAAAATGAGTAAAAAATTATTTTGACAGTATTGTGTTCCATTGTGTTTATTTTATGTATACTTGTATAACAAAACACAAATAAGGACAATTCATTTTTATTTTTTCCTTTAATTTTTTCCTGTTCTATGTCATGATTTCGTCTGTCGGGGAAGGGTTAACATTTATGCCTCGCAACAACACGATGTCTTAGCGAGTGAGAGATATGCACTTAATTTTGACGCGGTTCTGGGATGTGATATTGATGACTTTGCGACCGCCTTCTTACGTTATTCTCAAGATATTAGGGTTGTCAAGATATTTTTAAAAGACGATGATGATGTCTTCGCAACCACAGAGAAATATTAGGATTTTTGTGGGGGTCATGGGAGGAGATAATGATGTCTTCGCAACCACGGGAGGCTATGATGATGTGTTAGCAACCACAGAAAGTATCAATATATTGTCATGATCATGGTTGTCATGGTCAATGATGATGTCTTCGCTATCGTGGGAGACATCAATAACTCCTAAACGGTTTGAGATACAGCTTTGATATTTTGCAAAAATGTTAATCTTATTAAGACCTATTATCGTCCATCTAAACAATGCTAAACAACGTAAAAGGAGTATAGTATTATTGTTTAAATGGAGAAAAGCGGTCATACATTACGAAAACAACACGTTTCTCTGTTATTATTAATCTAATCTTAACAAATAAGGTATCATTGAAAACTAAATACAATTTACAAACTTTTTTGTCACTTGTAATTTTTTGTAAAGTTGACGGTTTTCGTGAAATCTGGCATCTAATATTTTAAATGGCCGCAATTTTGAAACGGTTAATGATTTTTTAGTATAATTTCTAAAGATAATAGGTCTTAATAATATTAACATTTTTGCAAAATATCAAAGCTGTATCTCAAACCGTTTAGGAGTTATTAGTTTTTTTGTAAAAAACACATAAATGCCGATAGTCGGTAAACTAGACACCACAGACCCATGTTCCTATGGTGAAATGTGTTTGTCTTGACCTAAGCAATAACGCTATTTACATGTGTCCAGAGAATTACGGGACACCCTGTATAGATATCTTACTATTCATATTTTACACTTGGTGACTTAATGTTACGGCCAATCTTATTTTCCTTTATTATGATGTTGTTTTTATTATTTACATTTATAATATTAGTAAAATAATATGGCAGCGCTAGACCTACTAAGTATTTGTCAACCATACAGTTTTTTTTCCCCCTAGTAATTGTCGACTAAATAGACATCCACCACACCTGTGAAGTTTACCAAGCAAGTGTTGGTTCTGGGAATAGCAAATAGTTGTCAATAGTAGTTGATATTTGTGTAAGAATACTTAAAATATGAAAGAAACACTTAATATTTGTTCTATATATTGTTTAGCTATAATGTATAAAACAATACTAATTCAAAGATTAAATTAATTTTTCATCCAAGAAAAAAAAGTCACACATAGACAAGGTTGTTTATAGTTAAAAATATCTCATTTGTATGAGGTAAACCAGCATTGAAAAACATTTAAAAATAGATATATTTTTGCACATTATCTTTCAATTACTTACAAACTATAAACCGAAAAATAGAACTACATTTGGTAATCAAATAAATAAAATCCAGTTTCAAAAAATGTTGGTGTTTAATTAAAAATGTTTGTAATTAACATTGCACATATTATGTGCAATGACACATGATAATATCATATTATAATATCATTGAGCGGAGCGAGCGAAGCTCTTTGGGATCAACTTCAATGCAACAAATAGAGAAACATCACTCAATAACGGCTGAACGCATTTCAGCCAAACTTAACAAAATTACTTAGACTAATAGTGAGATGGTTTTTAAACAAACAAATTTCAATTAGATAATGCTAATGCAATTTAAAACGAACTTAAAATTTCCATTTTTTAACATTAGGCTTATGGGACTAAAGTAGCCATGACAGGTTTTTTGTTTACAAGAAAAATGTAAACAAGAGAACCATAAGGTATTTCTGAACTTTCTAGACTTTTCTTTTAAACGTTTTTAAACCATTCCTATGATCTTAATAAACAAGAAAATACCGTTAAAACATTTTTTCAAGGCGCGGAATTCACTGCAAATCACGAAAATATACGGAACTACTTTCTCAATGCACGGAGCATAAACAAGGAGCGGATGGATACGGACCGGTGACTACTTTCTTGGGAACCTATATGTGTTGCCAGCTGATTAGAAACAGCCAATGTTAGAAATCAGGATTTAATAAGCGATATATCGAACCGCATCGAAATCTATATTTAATCCAATAATACCGAATACCTCACAGGTATTTGTTTTATGTCAATAGTCAACATTCCGTTATGTTGAATTACATCGACGGTGCAGTAAGTTATTACACTTATTAATAAAGCACAGATTGAACACTGATCTAATTTAGGCATGTAGGGAAGGTAGGTCGGGGTTTATGAGTATTCGTGACTACATTAAGTGTTTTGAAGTAAGGTTAGATTATGAAGGTAAAGTGTAGGTTATAAGTAGGTGATCGGGTTGTTTATTTGTGTTGCATCATATAATTTTTATCTTTTGGAATAGTTGGTTAAACGGGGAAACGATTTCAAAAATGCTTGCATCTTAACAAACCATAACAGTATTCTAGCATTGACTTTATATAAAGTCAATGATTCTAACAAATTACTACATAAATGAAAAGAACATTTGGATTTGGACCTTTTGACCATAGCAAAACTAACATATAATTTATGAAATGTGAAAAGTTGTATATCATTAAATACTATTCTGTAATATTAATAATTGTTCGGCAAATCCTCATTTTAATGGCTCGGCTGAAAATGGTATCTGCATTTTGTGAAACAGTAATTTGGAACAATTCAGTAATTTCAAATGTTGATAACAGTAGCCTATCCTATATAAATACTGTTATTTGATTGCCAAGCCACGTACAGTGGATACATACGTCCAGTTACAACCGTAATAAGTAAACCTGGGCTTATAGAAGTTCACTTTTAACCACGGTATGGATAATTGTCTAGGCCTCTCCAGAAGTAGGCTACTAATTTCTAATTATATTATCTACATTGTATATTTAAGGAATTTCTTCCCTACTTATTATTATTATGTTTTCACTTAAATCAGCTGAATGTGATGTTTACTTATTACTTATGTTTAGGCCTACATTTCAGCCATCTTATTTTATTGTTCAATAAGTAAAGTCTTTTTGCATTTTTTACGTTTTTACACATTGAAATACATGACTGATAATTCAGTTCATTTTAGTCTTGTAATAGCTATTTACATTACAAGTGTAAGAGCGTTTTTACATCACGCAGGTGAATGTTGTGCAACGAGCGGAAGCGAGTTGCATAATTTACCTAAGTGATGTAAACACGCTCTTGCGCAACGTGTAACGTACAAGATTTTACCTGACCCGACAATATACATGGGCTTACGTACAATATTTTTCATTATCCATTTCATTCATCGTCTAACAGTAACATTCTTTTACAAACAAAAGCTAGGTTAGGAAAATACTTTAAAGCATAACAATTAACATTCAAGCGCACAGCTGATTTCTAACGTTGAAAGTCGATGCCTCCAAAGAGGTATATTTTTTTAAGTTAATCACTCAATGTTATTTAAATGGGTTTCATTACATCACCGAGTGAGTTTTTTTCAATTTTACATCACTCGAGAAGTAAGGAAGTTGTATACATCACGCTTGGGATAGGGAAGTTTAACATGGCGGGTTAGGTAAAGGTGTTTTACATTTGAGTCTTACATTAAAATAGCCCTACATTTTAGCAAATTTCCCATATAGGGAATAAGCTATTACCGTAGTACTCATAGTAAGACCCGGACGCGGGACCGATATTTTTTTCGATTTGAGGTCCCTAGAGGCCAAAAACACCATCCGTTCAAATTCATATATATATATGTCCGTCAGCACGATAACTCGAGCAAAAATGATCCGATTTTGATGAAATTTGGTACAAACGTGTAAACGTACGTTTATTCGAACGAGTTCGCGATCCAGCATGATCGGACCATGGGAACGGGTGTTTACGGGGGGTTTTATGGGGTAAAAATAGGTTTTTCCCATTTTTGACCAAAAAAACATAAAATTTAGCAATTTCTTTCCAAACCATTTTGTAGAGCTTAAAAAAACAAATAATTTAGTATATTGAAGCATTATTATGCGCCTAATGGTTACGGAGAAAATTCCAAAAAATTGTAAATTTAAAATTCCCATGTTATTCTTATGGAGAATAAGTAAACTGTTGTAGTTTGCTTGTTTGTGAACATCTGAACATATTTTGATCAAATTTGGAAAATGTTTTTATTTCTTACTAACTATTCACATTTTACAAAAAAAAAACAGTTTTACCCTCCCTGATGCAGCAAACCTAAGTATTTGTTAAACTAATTCTATTTAAATCAAGAATAAATGTTATATTTTTAAGTAGACATTTCAGTGTAAATCCAATCAGTCAAATGGAAATTCGCTTAGTCTGCAGGTTTGCTGCGGCGGGGGTATTTCATAGGCCTATGTTTTATCTTCATTCTTTACTATCAATACAACTGGACATTCCATCCCCATGTTAAATTTGTAGCCAGCTTTTTCATCATTTTTTAACAGTTACTGTTTTTTATACTTAAATACTTAACCGATTGTAAGGGTGAAAAATGAAGTCCAATGTTTTTGTTGTAGGCTTCAGTTGAATTTGAATGTTAAATTTCCTTTGTCTTTTTTATACTTTAATGCCCTTTTTGGATGTTAGTATCAGATTCCAACTACAGTACTGTAATATTTTCCTGGTCAAAACTACCATAATGCACTTCTGGAAGAGGTAAATTTGAATGATTATAATTTTAATCAATAAAACCAGCATTAGTAAATAGATCTATTGACTTTTTTACATTTAGTTACTTATACAAATATCAAATCAGGTTTGTTCCGCTCAACTGGCTTTCACCTCTCTGAAAGCAACCCTAGTATTATCATATTGACACATATTATGTGTCATTGCATCTCTGATTCTAAGTATATTATACCGTATTTACTGTTACATTTCTTAGTCCTCGATGTTTTATTGTTAAGCATATTAGTTTTGTCTTCCGTCTTTAATGCTAAATTAATAATTTACATCTTTTTATAGTTTAGATATCATTTCTTTAATATTTCAAAAGACTATTGATAAGGCACAACAATATTTCTAGATAAGTTTATAACTGCTGATGTTAATGTTGCTAATGATTTATTGTGAGTGAAGATGGAAGAATTTGTTATTTAATATAAAGAATATTGACCTAAACAATTGTTCTTTTAAATGTAATAATTAGCAGTTTTGCAACTTCAAGATTGAAATTTAAAATGTCAAAAATAAAGAAAAAGATAATATGTAAATAAAAGAGATGAAGGTAAATCATGTACCGGAATATGAAAATTTTATTTGAAATTTTAGTAAAGATTTTCACATATCAGCCTACCCAAGATTTAAAATTAATCAAAACCAAGATAGCGGTTTCCACTACTTACCAGATTAAAATCCATAAATGTTTCTATAACGGCGATATAAAGGTTGAATTTTGTTTCTAAAAGCATTGGCAGATGTGTAACTATCTTATACAACAAATGTAAAGATCAAAACGTTTAAATTTGAGACCTCAATCATGAAAATCGGTTGGGTAGAAGAGCCAAACGAATTCGGAAAAGATAAACCAAATTTAACTCCCATAGGGAGAAAAATTTTTTTACTATAAGCTGAGTAGGATTACAGATAAATACAGTATATGCCGATGCTTGATGGCAAATCTGTGCGTGTGTGTATACCTTAAATTTGAGACTTCAATCATGAAAGTCGGTCAGGTAGCAGAGCCAAACAAACTTTGAAAAGAAAAACGAAATTTTTTTAAATATACAGTATAAGATGGTTAAATTAGAAAAAATTATTCTTACTGAAGAAACAACTGATCTTAGTCCAGTAACAAAGCTTCGTAGATTTTCTCATTCAATTAGAAACACTTATCTTACATTTACATTCAGCTTAAAATACACACATTGGCATGTATCACTGTCTTGAAGTAGGTAATGATATTGATAATGGTGTGTTATTTTGATGATTCTAGTGATTATAAATTTCAGGTTGGCTTGGCAGAAGAGAGACTGGCCGAGTTAGTTAAAGAGCATGAAAGTAAGAAGGACACAAACAACCACAATGGCTCTTCTTTCGTAAAACTTTGCCAGGGATTGTTAAAACCAAATGGCTTTAAACCTCTGCTACTTCTCACTTTTCTGTTCACTTTTCAACAATTCAGTGGAATCTACGTGACAATATTCTATGCAGTAACATTCTTCAAGGTAATAAGTAAATATTTGAGAAAAAATGCATGATACAAACTTCTTTCAAGTATGAACTTTACTTTTCTTTATGTATTTATGCATGTACCTATTTAATGTATGTATTGCTCTTAATATATTTATCCTATCACAGCCTTTTTATGTTCTTCAAAATAATATACACTACATAGTAATTAATAAAAATAGTATCAGTTAGTAACGAAAATAAAAAATCATAGGAGGAAGGTGCAGGTGTTAAGACCATATACAAAGTTCTAATTATACTTTTCATGAGTGCATGTACCGGTACCCTCTTAGGCGATTAACACACTAATGTTTTTTGAACCCAGTGACAAGACCTGTATTATACAGTAATTATTTACCTATTTTGCCTGAAGGTCTTGTAGTTTGAATTAACACTCGATGCGCATTTCGCCGCTCAGTGCGGCATCTTCATAGAGTATCTTCTTAAACACTACTGTTACCATGTACATATTTACACTATATTTTCCAATCACTAACCGGTCACATTCGCGGTCGCGGTTGCCCGGCGGCGACACGAGCGGCGGGGTATATTTCGTTCCGCACTGTTGACGTGATGGACTTGTACTAGATCTGAGTGGTTGACAGTGACAGTGTTATGATCAGGGGATGTAGTTATTGTTTGTAAGGGATGGTCGCTTTCTCTTTTGCGCTGTTGCCATGGCAGTACTTATGGATTTTTTTGCCACAGCGCAAAAGAGAAAGCGACCATCCCTTACAAACAATAACTACATCCCCTGATCATAACACTGTCACTGTCAACCACTCAGATCCAGTACAAGTCCATCACGTCAACAGTGCGGAACGAAATGTACCCCGCCGCTCGTGTCGCCACCGGGCAACCGTGACCGCGAATGTGACAGGTTAGTGATTGGAAAATATAGTGTAAATATGTACATAGTAACAGTAGTGTTTAAGAAGATACTCTATGAAGATGCCGCACTGAGCGGCGAAATGCGCATCGAGTGTTAATTCAAACTACAAGACCTTCAGGCAAAATAGGTAAACAATTACTGTATAACACACTAAATATGCTTCTGGTGACAGCTAAACTTTCTCCATGCTCGTGAAAATATTAGTGCCAAGCCAAAAGCATAAAGCACTCAAATTGGCATATTGGGGTTTGCGTTAAAAGCTTGACTAACAACCAATAAAATGTTTTTACCAATAAATTTAGATTTTGATTATTTTCAATTGACACAAAGAACCATTTGAAATTTTTCAGGATATGGGGGCCTCAATAGATGCCTATGTCTGTGCTGTTGGCATAGGAATGGTGCGATTGGTTGTTGGTCTTATTACTTCTCTACTCATCAAGAGATTTGGTCGTCGATCTTTACTTCTGGTCAGTGGTAGTGGAATGGCCTTTTTTCTGTTTACTGCTGGATACTTCACCCGTGCAGTTTCTGAAGGTAACCCCTATGATAAGTTGTGCAAAGTTTAATTTATAGTATTCCTTCAATTAATTGTTCTCTATGTGGTGATGAAAAGAGATTTGTCAAATCAACTGAGATAAAGTAACAAAATATGTAACGTGTCAATGGTGATGGATTTAGATCAGGTCCAGAGTTGTAAATTAACTAACCCCTTTGCAGACCTGGCAGCACCCCTTCGCTTCCCCCAGGTGTCAAAGAAGTCTGGGCTTCTGCCAGTTCTGACACATTTTTTAGGTCCTAGAAAATAGAATTGCTGTAAAATATCCTGCAGACTTCTATCCTAAAGAAAGGTTCTGCTCTCTAATGTGTAATTTTCTGACTAATATAAAACAAAGGTCGCAGAAGCAAATTTTGCTGGGCTAGGTCAACATGTTTTACTGCCTAGTCATACAGTATAAATATACTGGACAAAGTGTTATGGATAATAATTATTTTGTAATTGTAATGAAAGTAAAAATGTAACATTATAACACGATGCAAGTCACTGTGTTGTGTGGCAGGTTTGATGGAACCGACCATACTGCCCGTGGTGTGCATCCTCCTATACATGACCCTGGGAGTGACGGGGCTGCTGACTATCCCCTGGACCATGACTGCAGAGGTCTTCCCTCTAGAGATCCGGGGAATGGCTCAGGGACTCATCATCTCCATCGCACACATTGTCATGTTTGCAGCACTCAAGGTAACATCAGTAGTGACAAAGACACTATTTAAATACCCCCCGCCGCAGCAAACCTGCAGACTAAGCGAATTTCCATTTGCCTGATTGGATTTATACTAAAATGTCTCCTTAAAAATGTCACATTCCTTATTTAAATAGAATCAGTTTAAGAGTGAAAATTTAAAAACGTACGTTTTCAGGAAAAGCACTTTGAAATTTTTTTTCCCCTTTTTTCAAAAATGTTATTATTATTTTTATTTCATTAACATTTGAAGTTTCATAAAATGTCCATGGTAACGCAATATCTTTGGTATTTTTTAAAAAAAAGAGCATCTTTAGTGGAAAAACACAAAATCCTGTCACGACCATAACAGACGTTTAAATGAATATTAAAACTAGTTAATATTATTTTTATAACTATGTTTTGCTATAAACTAATTTTTTTTTATGACCATTATACAATAAAAAGGTCACTGAGCTTTTGGTATATTTGGCCTTTCTAGAAAAAAACAAAAACCTCAAAAAATAGAAAAAAAGCCAATAAAATCTTTTTAAGTTTGTATAACTCCGAAAAAACTTACCTGAGACCCGAAAAATCGTTATGTTTGTATAGAGGTGTGCTTCTTTTGTGTATAAAACATTGAAATATGACGATATTTTAATTTTTGAAATTTTTATGATAGAAATCATAAACGTGATGGTCAGGGACAAGCGGTACGGTCGTGAATTTTCTGAAATAATCTAAATATTTCTAAACAATCCTTCAATTATACTGTTAGTTATAATAAAAATAAGTGTTTAAATTGAACTAAACTGTTCAAATTACAATTATATTAAAGTTATCGTCACGTCCAAACACACTATAACCCATAAGGCTGGATTGGTCGTGAAAAAACCCACGATGGTCGTGAAACTTTGGTCGTGAAATTACGTGTTATTTGGCTCTGTTCTGGCGGTAGCCCTGCACCTCATGTTCGAGGATACAAAGTGGACTTCTAGGTTAATCTAGCAATTGAAATATCTTATAAACAAAAATTAACACCATGTCTACTTCATCGAATGACTACGTACGGTCATGGACACACCAAAATTACAAAAAACACAATCTTTCCTTTATTAATCTTGTAATTCCTCCTTTCAACTCGAAATGACCGGCACTACAATCCTGACGTACACCCCGAACTAGTCTCTAAAACCAACTGACTCCATCGACGCCAGGCTTGCCACTGTCGTGCTCCAAATTTGAAAATGTTTCCCAAATGGTCGTGACGCCAAATCGAGGGACAGACTTATTTTGTCATGGTAGCCTAGTCAGTTTGCAATGACAGTAAAATTATAATATGCTCCTTTTTTGTAAGTTTAATAACCATTGATGACATAAAAATATGGCTTTATATATTTCGGCATGAATAATTAGTCTAAAAACAGCGTGAAAGTTGGAAAATGTATACCCTAGGGACACGTCATGGTCGTGAATTTCGAGACTTTAAAAATACGAAAAAAATACCTAGAACCTATTTAAAACCAAATAAATGAGTGTAACAAGTTGCCCCCGTCCCAAAAAATATTAAAACACATAATGATAAACTACAAATCCAGTATCTACGAAGTAAAAGGCCAGGGACATGAAAACATACGTTTTTAAATTTTCACTCTTAACACATACTTAGGTTTGCTGCAACAGGGAGGGTAAAAGTGTTTTTTTATGTAAAATGTTAATAGTTAGTAAGAAATAAAAACATTTTCCAAATTTGGGCAAAATATCTTAATAAACAAGCAAACTACAACAGTTTACTTATTCTCCATAAGAATAACATGGGAATTTTAAATTTACAATTTTTTGGAATTTTCTCCGTAACCATTAGGTGCATTATAACGCTTCAATATACTAAATTATTTGTTTTTTAAGCTCTACAAAATAGTTTGAAAGAAATTGCGAAATTGTATGTAATTTGAGTCAAAAATGGGAAATACCCATTTTTACCCCATAAAACCCCCCATAAATCCCCGTTCCCATGGTCCGATCATGCTGGTTCGCGAACTCGTTCGAATAAACGTAGGTTTACACGTTTGTACCAAATTTCATCAAAATCGGATTGTTTTTGCTCGAGTTATCGCGCTAACGGACACATATATAAATATATATACAGTATATGAATTTGAACAGATGGTATTTTTGGCCTCTAGGGACCTCACAACGAAAAAAAATATTGGTCCCGCGTCCAGGTCTTACCATGAGTACTACTGTAATAGCTTATTCCCTATATGGGAAATTCGCTAAAAAGTATCTATTGCAGGTACTCAAACTCTTCAATGAGGGGAAAACACACAATATGAAATTTAAAATAAGTCTAGGAGCTAGGCCATGTCCCGTGTACACTTATATGTCCCCTGAGTTTTGTTGTGGGGCTTTGTTTATCGTATATGGGAGGTATAAAAAAAACTGGTCACGTGGTCCAAATCATGGTCGTTTGGCCCCCATATTGGAAAATGGCCACCAAATTGCTAAATTATTTGCTTATACGTATCTTCATACCCAGCGGTCCGATTTTAATTTTGTCAAGCTCATTTTACTCCTTAACTGAAGGCAAACAAACTTTGTCATTACACATGTTTTGTTAAACCCATTATTTATTGAGATATATTAACATTTTGAATCCAAATATAAAAAAATAGTGGTTTTTCTTTTCCGAGTCGGATTAGCTCTTCTACCCGACCGATTTTCACAATCTTAAATCAAAGTATGTACAAACAGATTTGCTATCAAGCACCGGCGTTCAGGGCCGGATTTCCCAATAGGCCCAGTAGGCCCTATTGGCGCAAGCTCCCAGAGGGCGCACGGCCGAGAGGAAAAATATTTTTTTCATATCTAAAAATATAATAAATAGCCATAGCTTAAAATATTTTGCAAGTTGATAAAAAAAACTCTTGTTAATAAAGCATTATAATTTTGAAACTCATTGGGAGAAATAATTGTTAGAATATTTAAACTATTTTTCAACATTACGCATCAATTTCGTTACAACATTTGTAACAAACATTGGTTATGGAGTAGGCTGTATAGGGATGTTGTCGAGCGCCCGAGCGGTACGCTTCGTATTGCCACTGTACTCTTTGCACTGCCACTATGCTGCCTCGGGGTCGGCACTACTGATCAGAGTGATTAGGGGGACATGCGTGTTACCACCCTCACCTCACATAAAGAAAATTTATTAACTAATCTTTTGATCAGTTTACAACAACCTGCAGGGTCAAGTTAAAATATATAAAACGTTTTGTTGAATATTAAAAATATGATAAGTTTACCTTTAAAATTCAATAACGAAAAAATATTTATCTGAGTTTGCAACAGGCTTTAGAAAAATTTAATCCCCTCCAAAGCACCAATAATGGTGTCATTTTCTCCTCAGCTCAGACCTGAGGATAATTATGGTTGGCCGGACTATTGCTTTGTTTTGCTTTGCAAATATAATCTGGATGCAGTACTAACTGGATGGATAGTACTAAGTGGATAGATTAACTATAAACTCAAGTCGACTTCTTACCATATTGTTAATTCTAAATATTTTTTTCATGTCTAGTTCATGTTGGTAACACTGGAAGATAGTTTTGACGTAATCTTGTTTCTATTATTTTAGGGATAGTTCTATGTTGTGTGTTTAATTTCTTGTAATATAACCATGGTTATTAAATTTACTTATTGTTCTAGTATGGAATAGATTGTAAATAAATACTTGTTAAAAAAAAATATATATAACCAGGGTACGACCTATTGTTTATGCTTAGATCGTTTTATTTTGGACAAACTAGGTTTTAAAAATAACCTCAATAAAAAGAATTGATTTCAGCTAATCCCTAAGGATGACAAATCTACTAAAGGAGTATGTTTTATCTATGGTATCACATACTGTTATGGAGTTCATGTTTTGGGGCCTGAAATCGGAAACAATGGACATGCTTTTTTGCAGGAATGCTCTGTGCGTTGGTTTTTTTTGTTTCGATCCCACAAGCGTGAGCATTTGCTAAAAACATAAAATTGCCAAAAGTGTTTAAGACGGCATTTTGTTAAGGCTAACCAAGACAATTCGTAAAAAAACTTGAAATGATAAAATTCTGACGATGAGTGGTGTTCAAGCAATTAACATAGGCCTATGCATGATATAGTTTTTAATAAAGGTTTGTAGAAAAGAAACTGTGACCAGAATAGGGGGCGGAAATACTATTGGGCCTAGGGGCGCCAAAATGCTAAATCCGGCCCTGCCGGCGTTCATTTACCTATAGTATATTTTGAGTTATGCACAAAAGCAACTTCCTCCCTCTACATTTCTTATGGGAGTTAAATTTGCTTTTTCTTTTCAGAGTTTGTTTGACTCTTCTACTTGACTGATTTTCATAATTTTTGTCTTAAATTAAAGGTATGCATGCACAGATCAGTGGCGTAACTAACGCCAATGCAACCAATGCGGTGCATTGGGGCGCAGGCCTTCAGGAGGCGCAGGCCTTAGGGGAGGCACACAAAACTGATGTATTCTAGAAAATTTTTAGCAAAAAAATATGTTGAAGCAAAACTTCCTGTAGCTTACCGAAAATAAATGTAAAAAAATATTTGTGGTACTTTATTCTTTATTATTTAAGCCCCATCGAGTGACCCCTCATTTTGAAGGTCATAATAAAATAAAACTAACAACGCAAACTAGAGGTCTCTATCTTAACGTAGTAAAATATGGCAGCTAATTGAATAAAAAATTGCAAGTTATTTCTGATTTCTAAAGATTTCAATCAGCTTCCATTTTTTACTGGATTGAGATAGAAACCCCTAGTTTGTGTTGTTAGTTTTCTTTTACCTGGACCTTCAAAATGAGGGGTCACTCGATGGGGCTTATTATTAAAAATCTTTGAGTTTTCCCCCAAAATCCCCCATTTTGGGTTTGGGAACCAAGTGGCTATTAGGCTTAAAAAGTACTTCATAACATGCCAAAAAGGTGTGTAGAGTTTAGTTTTCCTAGTGTGAGCCGTTACAAAATATACAGGGGGTCCCCAGACTTGGAAAGCTGTAAGTTAAAATTAACTTCTGAGAATTTCAATTGGCTGCCATTTTTTACTGGATTGAGATAGAGACCTCTAGGTTTTCTTTTACCAGGACCTTCAAAATAATGGGACACTCGACGGGTTTGTATTTGAAGTTTTTGAATTTCCCCCAAAATCCCTCATTTTGGGGATGTACACCAAGTGGCGGTTATGCCCAAAAAGTACTTAATAACATGCCATAAAGGTGTGCCAAGTTTAAATTTTCTAGTATGGGCCGTTAAAAAAATAACAGGGGGTCTCCAAACTTTTTATTAACCCTGCATATAACAAAGAAAAGTCCGGGTATTTGTAGTAAACATTAAATAAAACTTTTTGTTTTTGTTGTAAATTTCCAAGCTTTCTTATCAATTGTAATGTTCTGATAGCATTGTTTGAAACCAAAATCTCATAAAAGCGAAATACATCTAGTCTGAATATTATTTTCAATGTAATATTAAATTTAACCTTGATTTAGTTTGATAAGGTAATTATAATATTATAGGCATTTTAGGAAAAATACTTTTTTACAGCAAAGCCTCAGCAACACAATTTATGATTGTACAACAGTAACCACTGTTGTGGTTCAACTAAAAAATACCATCCAAAGAGTCCGTGACTAACTAGTGCTGCTCCCTAGTAACGCATTGAACAACCTGCTGTAGCGCTATCTGTTCGCAATTGTTGGCATCAGCTTAAATACCGGTTTTTGACTCCTCGGTCTCCAAGCACAGATAGCCGAGAAGGCTAGGGTGTGTGTCACTTGGCCAGTGGCATTTGTTTGCTCGGGTTCAATTGCCGTCCTGTGTGGCAAATAATTGGTGACCTGTGTGTTTGTAGCGATATACTACAACCACTGGGGCATAGTGAGGAGGTCATAATCCTTGGTTTAGACATACACCTCGAATCATCGGATTGGGTGAATCTTTTAGCTAAGTGGTTGTTAGTGTAGGTTATCCTCGAGCATTCAGGTCACCGTTTTGCTACTTTTTGTTAAAATAACCTTCCTCTCTATATCCCTTAGTGATTTTAGTAAACAACAGTATATTTTTGCATAGCACTCAAAGGGTTAAGCGAATTTCCCATATAGGGAATAAGCTGTTACCGTAGGTCTCATGGTAAGACCTAGATCCGGGACCGATTTACTTTTTTGTTTATAGGTCCCCATGTGTGTGTGTGTGTGTGTGTGTGCGCGCGCGTTAGTAAGAAAACTCAAGCAAAAATGACCCGATTTTGATTAAATTTGGTACAAACGTAAACCTACGTCGAACGAGTTCGCGAACCAGCATAATCGGACCCTGGGAACAGGGGTTTATGGGGGGCTTCGTAACTCAATATCTTCCCCATAGCAGCAAACCTAAGTACCAACTAAAATTAATAATATTTAAATAGGAAATAAATATCTAACAATTTTAGGGAATATTTTAGTAGGGATCAAGCCGGATAAATGGAAATTTGTTTAGTATGCAGGTTTGCTGCGGCGGGGTTATTTAATTTTTACTTAAGACAGATTTTAATTAAATCCATTGGTAGAAAAATAGTTACATAAAATTCAGGATTAAAACACAAATCTGATAACAATTTAAATTGTAGGTATACCCCTTCCTGGATGATCTGTTGGGAGGAGCGTTCGCAGTGCTGTGGTTGTTTGGTGGAGTGTCTCTCACAGCCGTCGTCTTCATCTTCATCTTTGTCCCAGAAACTCACAAGAAACAGCTTCAGGAAATACAAGACTATTTTAAGCATAATACATTTTATTTTCTCAGTAAAAGGAAACTGAGTAAAGTTGTAATAGAAATAGATGAAGAGGCTGGAGAAGAGATGTTAAAAAAGAAAGACATATCGTGATAAAAATTTAAGCCTCTTTTAGGAACTTTATAAGTCAATGTTACCTTTCCATACCAGAAGGCTGGAACTATGTGGCTTACATTATTTTAAGAATGTAAAACGTTAACAAATGTGATCTTTAAACACATACCACACTTAATGTATTTAGAAGGAGAAAAGATATTTCAATGGTACTGAAAGAATGGTTTTAATTTATTTCAATTGATAAAATTGCAGAAAACAATTATTTTACCTACCAAAATGGCTGTAATAATTTAGTTAATATTGTTGAAAATAAATTAAAGTATGACTTAAGCCATCATTAATGCAGTAGTGTCATTGTAATTTTACATAGTGTTGCTTGAATTACTGCTGTAAATAATTATTCTTAAACAAGGTTAAGACGAAACTAACTTTTTACTTTATTGATACAAATTCTTTTCAACATTCTACAAACATAAAATCATTAAAAATCATTTACTGCAGTGATGAACACTGTAGGACTAGGTATTGACAAACAATTGTAACCCAGCAAGGCTGTTGGTGTTAAAACAAGAGTATATTCTTATTCAGTCTTAAACTAATTAAGTAGAACATCAAAACTACACTTAATGATAACACGTTCGCTACCGAGCGTCGCATATATGTGACAATTTAATCTTACACATAAACTGGCTGACACTTACTTAACTGTACATAAAGACCACAGGTGAAAACCTGTTAAACTGTGATCATTTACTTTGTAATACGCTGAAATCGTGTTTGTAAATAATATATTCTTGTTTTTAGCGAATTTCCCATACAGGGAATAAGCTATTACCGTAGTACAGTCCAACCTCAGTATAACGAATCTGAAGGGACCGAACTGAATATTCGTTATATCAAGGATTTCGTTAAAAAGAGGTTCGTTATATAGAGGTTAGGTTTGCAGAAAATTCGCTAAGTCGAGGTTCAGAACCAGCGTTGGTCAATATAGGTCGGGATTTGACCTCATTAAAACACAATTAAAGTAGCATATGTTACAATACTTTACAGTACAGTGTTTACATTGTACAGTAGAACCTAAATTATCCGGAATAATAAAGGGGAGGGATCTTGAATATTGTGCAAGTGCAATCATGAAAATGGCATTGACCTTGGTACAGGTTAACAACTGTAAGTTTAAAATTACAGCTTGTTCTAACCCTCCTAAAACCTAGCCAGACACTGTATTGCGTATTCTTAAACCATGTAAAGAACAAAACAAACAATAGAAAGTTTTGTAACCTACTGCTCGCGATGGTAGGCTACTTACAGTACAGTACTGATTTATCACAACAGAGGAATGTCAATAATAATCATTAACTATAGCATTGGTGTTGCTAGTTTAAACAAATCGTATTGAAAACAAGAAATTATTAGATAAGTCATAAAAGTGTATAATCATAGCCAACTTAAAGATAATAAAAACACTCGTAAAAGGAATGTTAAAATAACGATGTTGCTATTCTTTCTCTTTGCTCTTGTTTTTATATCCTTTCTTAGGTTTCTCTTTATCCAAAAATTGTACAATTCACCATAGTTACTTATCGCCCAAACACAGCTTACTAAACATTACGTTGTCATCAGTCCTCAGTGAATGAAATCAGTTCTCAGTTGCAACATAGCGCGCGCAGCGACAGCAGACAGAGATATGTGTAAAACGGAGCAGACGAATGTTAGCGCAAGCGATGACGTCACCTTTCCATTTCATTTGATAAAGAAACAGATTTTTCAAAAATAATGGGGTGGGGGAAAAGGGGGATTTGTTATATCGAGGGAAAGACGTAGACAATTCGTTATGCAGAGGTTAAATTCGCAATGTAGAGGTTCTGACAATGATAAATTCGTTATATTGAGGTGTCTTATTTTAGCCGAAATCACAAAAAATTCGTTAAATCAAGGTCGTTGTTATGGTTTGTTCGTTATGTAGAGGTAAAATATACATTGTGTCTTATGGAGAGTTCTAGGGGATTAAAAAAAAATCGTTATATCAAGGAATTCGTTATATCGAGGTTCGTTATATCAAGGTTAGACTGTACTCATGATAAGACCTGGACGCGGGACCGATTTTTTTTTTCGTTTTGAGGTCCCTAGAGGCCAAAAACACCATCCGTTCAAATTCATATATATACATATATATATTTATATATATATATATAATATATATATATAATATATGTATATATGTGTCCGTCAGCACGATAACTCGAGCAAAAATGATCCGATTTTGATGAAATTTGGTACAAACGTGTAAACATACGTTTATTCGAACGAGTTCGCGATCCAGCATGATCGGACCATGGGAACGGGGGTTTACGGGGGGTTTTATGGGGTAAAAAAAGGTTTTTCCCATTTTTGACCCAAAAAACATAAAATTTAGCAATTTCTTTCCAAACCATTTTGTAGAGCTTAAAAAAAAAAATAATTTAGTATATTGAAGCGTTGTTATGCGCCTAATGGTTACGGAGAAAATACCAAAAAATTGTACATTTAAAATTCCCATGTTATTCTTATGGAGAATAAGTAAACTGTTGTAGTTTGCTTGTTTGTGAACATATTTTGATCAAATTTGGAAAATGTTTTTATTTCTTACTAACTATTCACATTTTACAAAAAAAAAACAGTTTTACCCTCCCTGATGCAGCAAACCTAAGTACTTGTTAAACTAATTCTATTTAAATCAAGAATAAATGTTATATTTTTAAGTAGACATTTCAGTGTAAATCCAATCAGTCAAATGGAAATTCGCTTAGTCTGCAGGTTTGCTGCGGCGGGAGTATTTTATATTTTTGATAACCTTTTGTAATGTCGCATGTTTGCGACACCCGGTCTATAGCGATGACAATAATGAAAATTATGATATTTTTCTTGAAATAGCCCAAACGCCGCATATATGTGACAGTTCATTTTTGTCTATGTTTTGTTGTGAAAGTAAGTGAAAAAAAAAAAACAGATTATTCAAGAACAGTTTATAATTGAACAAATATCAAAGCTACATAGGATAATGCAGCATACAAACATACACAGCAAAGTAAAGAGCAGTTTTTCTAACTATCATATGAGGTCACCAATCATAATAGCTACAGACCAAGCGACGCAGTTGTGCGTCAGACATCCCTGTAGACCACTGCAGAGAATTCCGTGCCTTTGAATAGACTGTTACAAAGTTATAAGCCTTTTGATAACATTGGAACACCGACACAAATATGCAACGTCAGTCTATTTTAATGTGACCAGCCGTTGCATATATGCGACGGCAGTCTATGGGTAGAAATCGGCCGTCGCATATGTGCGTCGCTGGTCTATATGAATGAAAAATGTTGTGCTATTGCGGTAGCGAATTGTTAAGCAAAATTCAGTAAATTTTAACTAACACTTTTATAATGTCAATTAATTGTATTGGAAACAGAGTTTTACTACCAACTATATACGAGGTGTGTTAAAAAATAACAAGAATTTTTACTTTTCTATCAAAATATTTATTTGTTATTTGTCTACATTGATGCTATATCATCTTTAAAATAGTTCCCATTGGAGATTAATATTATCATAGACAAAAATAATTAAATATAGACCGTCAGCTGTGCTGCGGTTACCATAGGTTCTGGCGCACACCGCTTGGAGCACCACCGTAGTTACGGCGTACGCGCTACGTAAACTGCAGCGGTGTGCGCCGGAACCTATGGTAACCATGGCAACCGCAGCACGGCTGACAGTCTATATTTAATTCTTTTTGTCTATGATATTATGCACAAATATTCTTGCCAAATATTATGCCAGCGCTTCTTCCAATCCCTGAAACACTTCTCAAACTCTCTTCGAGAAGGACTTAAGTTCTTTCAGCAATGTGCCTTTATGTCATCTTCGGCTGTAAAACTGCGGACCTTTAAAGCTCTCTTTATTTTGAGAAATAGAAAAAGTCACATGGAAAATATGGAGGCTGGGTTTGGGTATCAACAGTATTGTTTTTGGCCAAAAATTAATTAACAAAATTATGGACGAAGTATGAGCAGGTGCATTATCATGATGAAAAGACCATGAACTGTTTTTCCACAAATCCAGTAGTTTTTTTACGGATTGCTTCACGCAAACGACGTTGAAGTTGAACTTGTAGGTAGTACTCCTTATTGACCATTTGACCTGGTGGCAGGAATTCACTATGCCATTAAAATATAAGGTCACAGTGAGCATAGTCTTCACGTTTTACTGCACTTGTCAAGCTTTTTTTAGTCTTGACAAGCCAGAATGCCTCCACTGGGATGATTGAGCCTTAGTTTCAGTGTCATATCCGTAAACCAGTCTTTTGTAACCTGTTATAAAAGGTATAAGTAATTCAGTAATGTCGTTGACTTCTATAGTTATTCCTGAGCAATACTTTAATACTTAGCTTTGAAATGGCGACCATACAAATAAAGGGATTTTAAGCCAAGTAAGAATGGAGATGAGTGTAGGAGGGGCGCGATGTTGTACAGGGTTATTACAAATGATGGACCCATTTTTATACTATTAAACTTACCGCTATAAAATACGCATCAAATGAAAAAGCAGCTTAAAGAGTTTATGCCTTCCAAAGACACATCATTTAACAAATTGATCCAGCAGAACTGTAGATTTATTTGTACAAAGTTAAAAAGTAATCTCCAACTTTTTTTACCACTAGAAATTTGGAGGTTACTTGACTTTTTGCAAATAACTTTTAAATGGTGAGGAAATCGACCAAAGTGGAAGGTAATATTCCGAAAGAGAATAAAATTTCCTACAATCTACTATTATGCATATCTTGAAAATACTCAATAAATGTAGCCTAAATTTGGCTTAAAATAAAAAAGTGTGAAATTTAATGTTTGCTATGTTTATTGTCTACATTGAAGACATTTTCAATTTTTTTTTCATTTTGAGGCAATTTTTGGTACTTTTCTTGAGTATTTTCAAAAAATGCATAATAGTAGATTGTAGGAAATTTTATTCTCTTTCGGAATATCAGTTTATAGTGGAATCAGAACCCCATTTTTGCCTTGTGATTAACGAATTGGTCTAATTATCAGGATAGTACTGCGGATAGTTGTAACACTAGCACTCACTAGTGCAGACGTTAATCCACACCAGGGAGTATCGCATCCACAGTGCATGCTTATAAATATCCACAGTTTGTGACCTCCTAGTAGCTGAATTACGATTACAACTTTCATTTGCCACTCTCTTTTTGTTGAAATTCAACCCATAATTTCAAACAAATTTTGTTGCGATCCATTTCATACCCAAAACATTGGACAAAATGTCATCACATAATCCAATTGATGTGCCA